GGCTGCCAGCTGAATTCAAAGTGACCAAGATTTTAGTTGTCAGGGGAGTATACTCGCGGGAGTCTCCTTCACAAAGTAACAGATTTTAAGGAAGAAGCTATCTGAGTGGAACTCGTTCCTTATCAAACATACACGAAAAGAATGGTTTGCCACTGTGGACATGGAATGACGTGGGTGGGGGTGCTAGCTGTAAACGATAAAGTAGTGGAATGCTGGCAACTTCGACTGTCGAATAAGGGTTTCAGGTTCGGGAATAATTAATCACCCACAAGGCCGCGCAAGGCTGGACCATAAGGATCGGGTAGAACTAGCCCAGATGTTGTAACATTACTTCATACTTTGTCGGATCTGACTCTTATAAATATAAAGCATAGCAGCGGGTGTTTGGTATTTTTCTGGAGCGATAAAATTGAACCGACCATTCTTTCAGCATCATTTACGATGGCACCGAATATACGCGTTCCATTTGGGGCCGTGAGTGATCTTTTTCCCCAGTAAGCGTTCGAGGTAAGGAGCATCTTAGAGAGTATGAACGCTTATCAAGATTGGTGCAGGTTTAGGCTCTGCTCGGCAGTGGGGAAATGTTACGAGGTTAGTTTTGGATGTATTGAAAGATTTTTCCCCATTGAGCTATGAGTGTTAGGTCAAAGGTCAGGACTAAGATCAGCTGACATGCATCGGTCATCTTTATGTGTGGAGCTGCACCCATAACACGTGGTATCATCTGCATATATAGTTATTTTCTAAGCGTAGCTTAGATGTGGCACAAGGCCGAAAGTATGGGACACCTAATGAGGATCGAACTCACTTTTCAGTTGTAACTGATCTAGCGAGACAAGCTTGCTAACCACGCCGAGGTGCCCTATCATCTGCATATATATTTACTAATGATATGAAAACGTTCTTAGGCTGATCTTTAATATAAAACAGAAAAGGATAGGACCGAAATGTTTACTGAATTAGATGTGTAAATGATTTATTGATTTTCACATAGAACAATGATTAAACCTTGTAGTTTAGATCGCCACAATGAGATAACCATGATATGTTACTTTTCATATAAACCCAGGGTAGTCAAAATTGCTTTATGTGAAAGCCACACGCAATAAGTTTAAAATGTTTGAGTGTTGGAAGACAGACACAAAAATTACACGCTATTTTATTGTTACATACGCATTTTGACAAGAGAAAATTACTAAGAACATTAACAAATACAATAACACTTATTCATACACATCACTTGCAAACTGTATGTTTTTAATAATTTTAGGAGACAATTTACTCACCTGTTAAAACGATATTTGAAGCAACAGAGATGTGGTTCTAGCGAGGAATGTTAGAAATACCATGGACAGTACATGTGAGTCATGCGGAAGTCGTAAGTGAAATAAGAAATCCAGGGAAACTGATATTACAATTAGAAAAAAAAAGACAGTGATAATCTATGGGTGACATAGTGAGCAAAGAAGGCTTGGAAAATTTAACACTTCCATGCCATACTAAAAACAATAAAACCAAAAAAAATATATTTTGGTTTAATATATATATATATATATATATATATATATATATATAAATGTAAGACAAAAGAAATATTTTCTTTACGATGAGGTTTCATTCCCTAAGGTATTTTATCAAGCCAAATGTAGAGGTTTTATTTAGTTATTTGTATTTACACTTCTGTATATAATAATAATTCGAAAATAAAATCGACACATTTACCATGATAAACTTCCTCATGGAGTGAAACGCGTTGTTAAAGAATGGTTTTCTGCTTCTCTTATTTATATTGCCTTAACAGATATATTTTCTGAAGTTTTACACTCTCTCACACACAAATATATATATATATATATATATATATATATTGGAGAATCTTTTAAAAAATTTCCTTGTGATGCGTTTCGTTCACTTCATGGGACTATATTTATTATGTTGGTATGACTACACACGCGCATGAAAGAAGGGTGCTGTAAATTTTAGAATCTTTTTTTTAGTCGACTTAATTTAGAGTCTTTTTCTTTACACTTTCGTAAATCGGTATTCCACACTGTAATATTAGAAAATTTGGCCAGAATAGTAAAATGTTGTAAGAGCCAGGGCGCAAAATTACTGTAGATGACCTTGCGATTAAAGCATTCTCTAGACATTTATGTCGTAATGAATTATTTTCTCCTTTGATCATGGTAGCATTTTTTATGTCAAAGTTTTGTGTTCATATAATCTTTTATTTAGATTTCTTGAGGTTTCTCCTATGTACTGTTTTGTGACAAATATTACAGGCAATAGGTTATTGCTTTGTTTAGTATTGACTAAGTCTTTTATTGTTTTGGATGTAGTGTAACGACTTTTATGTTGAGTTTAGTTAGATTCTTTTCGATTGTAGATGAGATAGAATTAATAGGCAGGATATTTTTTTTGATCCATTGGTTTTCTCGGGATTCGTTTTTTGTTTTGGAAAATGGTTGCTAAGACATTAGGTTTATACGTTCCAAATATTCATATATAGATGTTCCCAAGGACATATTCCAATCACCTGAAGGAGACCGGAGCATACAGCGACCGAAACGCTGTCTCTTGTTATCTCTCCTAAACCTTGTTCCGCAATCCCTTCATGCCAGCTAGGTTATGCGTTGTTTTCCTATGTCCCTCTTGCCTTCAATCTGTCCTGTGAGTATCAAATTTCCCAAGCCCACTTTCTTCATTTTGTGCCGTAGAAATTTTAACAGTTTTTTGCTCATATTATTTTTGGTTAACTAAATGAAAATTGAGTTATAAATGTAATTATGAACTCTGCTTTTCATTCCGGTTTGACATCATTTTCCGTTTTTATTTTTGTTTTTACTTTTTTGTGTTGTGTTAGATGACTGAAGTAAAAAAGAAATAAAAAAGAAATTATTTTCGAAAAATACCATAAATATTCTCAAAGGATAAATAAAGCGTAACTCCACAGCGTACACATATCAAGTGTAAAATGATTGGCAAATATCATTGGAATGTAATACGCCACATTTAATCAAGTATCGTGACACTTTTGGCTCATGTGTCAGGAGTTGACCATTGCATATCTCGGCTATCTAAATGAAACTTAGGGAAAAATAATCTTTCTGAGATATTATATTATCTATCGATCGAAGTTATTATTGATTATACAGAGTCTAAGCTACTTTGAGATAGTGATGTAGTTACATTTAAACGCCATGGAAACACTGTACGCCCTTGACAGTAGTAGAAAATCCAGTTATGAGTTGAGATATATGGGGCAAACAGACGAGATCTGCCCACTGCTCCGTAGGTCAACATTCCAGAAGAAAATGTAATTCAATACACATGTGTGAAATGATTAACTCATATGCAGACAAATTCATACGTTTATGCAGACTTTCATTTGGCACAAGAAGAAGGATAGGTTTTTATAGACATGTGCACGAGAAACACACTCACTTACTCACTCACATTTCTACATATTTGTATAGTGCCTTTTTGCCAGATCAAATAAGTTTAGTGCAAAATATCATTTCTATGGCTGATGTGTGGGTAGCGTAGAGGGCATCGGCGCAGAACATGAATTCAGCAATCGGAGTTCAGATCCAGCAAATTCCGTGGCATTTAAATTACACTTATGACCTTCAGAAAGGCAAGAAACTTTTTCTTGGGTAGTTAAGGCGTGAATTCATTTTATAGCTTTTCACCCCACTTGTAGCTTAACATTTAGCACACTGCATTATTCACTACTTTCCTTTCTACTTCATTGTTTTTCAAGGCACCTCTGCTTCATTTCAGTCATGGTCATTTTCTGTTGCCATAGCAGGATATGACAACACAACTGCAAGATTCAAACACGCTATCATTCATTCATCTGCATTGGCAGGATAAACTTTTTGCTTTGCAAACAAAATCACCTCCATAATGTTAAAGACTAAACAACAGAGTAAACTGAATTGATTGATTGATGGTTGATAATAAAAACAAACAGAATCTTTGGTTAACAATGATTGGTTGCTTCCTGAAGAGACACAGAGTAACAAAAAAAAACAAGACCCCCCGCAAAAAAAATACAAAAAACAAAAAAATAAATAAATAAAAACAAACAAACAAACTATAACCATTAATATTGAGACACACTTTTTATGTAATATAAGCAATATCCGAAGTTTGCAATGCATACAAACATGGCGTACCTCCATTAATAAATGGATTCAATTTTTAAAATGCAAAATAATCAGCGTCCTGGGTAAGACGATAAACTATGTCTGACAGCAAGACCTCCGATCAGGAAGTTTTGAGGAGTGTGGAATCACCTCTTAATTGCTGGTGTCCCCAGGTCCACCCTGAAATGTTGTGGTAGCACCTGTTAGGGTCCCAGCTATGGGCAAATAGTTAACCCCTAAAATGAGGTTAAAACTATCAAAGTGTAAAAATAGGTTTTAATACCAGAAATACTTTCCTGTAAAAAAAATTATTATCAGAAATACATTATTAGCAGCAATACATAATATATTAATAATAATTTTTTGAAGAAAAAAATATTACCAGCAATACATTTTTGGGAAAAAAATATTACAAGCAATAAAGAATTTTGTTGGCTTTAAATAACCCATTGAGGTTGATATGCCGTAAAACAAAACAAACAAAATAATCAATGGATGGAGTTTTAGAATGTCTGCAAACACCTGTACAATCGATAAACACACCAGTCACTTTAACTGCTTAGTTACAAGAACTTGACAGCTGCGCACAAACCATAATTTAACCTGTGACGCAGCCTTTTATTATCGATAAATTGATTCTTCATTGACGACTTCTCAACCTTTTGCATGCTATTTAAAGCCGGCGGGGGATAATGATTTAGTGATACACTGGGAGCGAAGAGGTGTATTCATACCTTTTCCAAGGGTATTTGCGTGTAAGTGAATATAACGAACCCAATGGGAATTGGAACTCCGCTCGGCGGTGAACAATTCCGAGCCATTATCCATTACACAACCCGGTCATCCAAGCTTACAGTACCTGATATTTTCAAGCGTTCACCCATCTAATTACTGACCAGGCTAGGCGTTGCTTAACTTCCGTGATCGTTGAAGAACTGGTGTTTCAACGTGATATGGCCTTATCGATAAAAAATAAAGACCCAATTAGAATATAAATTTTTTCTCCCTTTCCGGATATTTTATTTTTTATTCTGGTCACATTACTTTCTTTTTGTTTTTGCTAAATATTCAGCAAATACAAGGCTCAAGAGCCACTCAAGATAGAAGGTTACTAAATGAGGTTGCTGTATGGACGTAACAGAAGGAAGTAAGGGCAGATTATGAAGACATGTAGGATAGATAACGATTGACGCCTACACTTGAAGAGGTTAAGATTGAAATTATCAAGTCATACTTTTATGACGAATGGACTACGAAAGCAATCGGGATAATTCGACCAACTGAACATAGCATGACGGGACCTAGCAGTAAAAGGTCTGAGTTGAAAGAACTAAAGAGCGTAGCTTGTGTGAACATTTTCCATGTATATAGCGATAGAATAAGCAGCGCCGGATTTAGGAAAAATGCGGCCCTGTGCTAGTTAAGCTACGAGTCCGCTTGCTTGGGCCCTGAATGCACCAATTTAAAAAAGGAGACCGTCAAGAAGAGTTACAGGTGATTCCGAAGTCGTCTGGAAGCCGTGGTAGAAGCCAATGGTGATTTTATTGGATAAATTTATTTGTAGTATTTCAAGTATTTTTTCCTGTAATTTGGTAAATATATCGGTTAAAATGAGACGTCAATTTTATTTTTATTTTTACATAATTTAGATAATTTATCTATCTCACCTTCTATTAAGCTTCATCTCATGAAAAGTAAATCTCGTTTCTTTTCCTGTTCAAGATGGGGGATATATAGTGTTTTAAGTTCAATTCGGAAAGAGGCTGATATAAAATTAACGAAGAGGACACTAGGGATTAGTAAAGATTTTGATGCATACTATTATAATATATTACAACACAATTAAAATGTTTATTATAAAATCTGGCACTGTTTTCTGAACAACCCAACAAAATATGTCCGAATTCAATACAATATTACTATTGACAGAGGTAGAATGAGAAAGTGAGTAGTTGCTAGGTATTAGCTTGTTTTTTTGGGTACTGAATGTTATAAGCTAGTTTTTCAACCATTGAACTCGGCCAGAATAAAGATCAGCTTCCAGAGGAGAGAGTCACCTGAGATAGTTACTAATAACTTCAGTATTTATTTTATTACATTTTTATTACATGAAGCACTGTCAAATATCATTATGGATTGTATTTACTTTATCTTAATTTTTTATAGCTTTTTTATCGTGCACACCCATCCAAAAACATCCGTTTTTTTTTTCTAATACTCGTCATTCGTAGGTATATATTGACTGATATGTATGCCCACACGCTCGCCTAGCGCACGCCTACGAAGAAACACTCACAAATACTGACATGATTTGTGATATATATATATATATATATATTTTTTTTTTCTCCACTATTTGTAAAATTCCTGCCAGAAATTAAATGCAGTATTTTATCGCTTCCATTTCTCAACACCACCAATTCGTTGATTCAACACTTTTCCCAAGAAAGACGGGTAGCAGTGAGAAAACCGCTCATTAAATTAATTGAAGAGACGGGGATGATAAATTTAACAGCTTTTAGCCAATAATATATATCACAGAAAGTATACGTGAAATACTAGAGAAAGAGAAAGAAAGAGAAGGAGAGAAAGGAAGAGGAGAAGAGAAAGAGAAGGAGTGACAGAAAGAGAAGGAGATAAAGAAAGAGAAAGAGAGTGAAGAAAGAGAAGGAGTGAAAGAAAGAGGAGGAGAGAAAGAGAAGGAGAGAAAGAAAGAGGAGAGAGAGAAAGAAAGAGAAGGAGAGAAAGAAAGAGAAGGAGAGAAAGAGAATGAGAGAAAGAAAGAGAAGGAGAGAAAGAGAGAAAGAAAGAGAAGGAGAAAAGAAAGAGAAATAAAGAGAAAGAAAGAAAGAAAGAAAGAAAGAGAAAGAGAGAAAGAAAGATGAGAAGAAGAGAAAGATAGAGAGAGAAGGACAAAAGAGAGAGAAGGAGCGAAAGAGAGAAAGAGAGTGAAGGAGAGAGCAAAATAAGAGAGGAAGAGGGACAGGATTGCAGGATATTTTAGGCTATATTTTGATTCTGTTTGGTTTACGTACATTGAAGAAAAAGAAGAAAAAAAACAATTGTTAGAAAAAAAATCCTTCTGGACTGGATTGCTGTGTTGTATCTATTCTCTTCAGTGGCAGTAAAAGTTGGATAATCTCCCCTACGGATGAGAAAAGAAAACCACAGAGACAGCAAAAATATAATTCTCGGGAAGGATCCTAAAATTCTAGGAGGGTGGGGAGCGAGAGAACAGTTCTACTAAAAATCCGGAAATGGTGCGCATAATGAAGAAGGAGGTCTTAGAAAATTTAACGGACAAAGAACATATTGAGAGTAATAGAGATACGGGAAAGCAAAAAGCCACTAACCTGACGAGTTTGTGTCAATGGAGACCTTTGCAAAAGGAGAAAAATTGCTCAGGGTCACAAATGATAAGAAGTTGATCGCTCATTTTCTGAAAAATATTGTATGGTGTATTCTAATTGTCCACTCCGATATACTCTATGTCTACAATAAAATATAATTTTTACAATAACATTTGCATTAACCAACTAATTTGTGTAGATTTTTTAGAATATACTTGTCTTTTTATTGGGAGGTGCGGTGTGGTGCAATGGCATCTCGGGTTGAGAAATCAGTCGATCAGATTTCGAATTCCAGTCGAATTCCTTACAATCACTTATACGCAAATACTCTTGGGAAATTCGACATTTTCTTCCCTGGCTATGGGTTGAAAAACATGACAGACTAGGCTTTGTAATCTTGGTTAGCAATCAGTCAACAACAGAAAGAAATGAGAGCCTACAGGTAGAAATATTCGACTTAGTAATTCATGAAAGTGACGTGATCGCTCATGCATGTATCACGTACTACATTTAAACTAGGCGACACGTGACGCGTTCGGTCACTGACGGTTCAGGTCATAAAACACTGAAGTTGATTTCAACGTACCATTGAAATGAAAGTTAATTTTATGACGATTCACTTAAATATTTCATTTCTTTCGTGTCATCATTGGTCTAGTTTACAAGTTCATATTTAACGTTTTACTGATTGTTTACAATATTTAATAAAAACAGAACTTCCGGGTTAACCTTGAACTTTAAATCAGATTAACTTTAAAATATTGTTTAATATACCAAAACTATTTTAAAATCATATTCACTTGAAAATATCTTTTTTATATTTGCCTAAAAATAGTTTTTAGATATTTAAAATATTGTTTGCTTAAAGAAAGCTGAAATAAAAATAATTACCCTAAAAGCAACTGGAGGAAGCGGCAAAGCGGGATCTCTTTGTGTCTGTCTTTAACTTAAAATTTTTGCTTCTGTTTGAAGAACGTTAAAATAAAAATACTTTCTGTATAAACAACTCGTATTTTTAAATCTTATTCATTTGAATCAGATTAATTTAATTTGATTATTAAACTCTCAGCGAACGATGTCAAACGTTTTTTACAGCTACCATTATTTAATGTTTGCACTTCCAGTGAACAGCCCTTATCAGGGTTTCTTCTTAAACTGCCACTTCCTACAAGCATCGCTATGATTAAGAGCCCGGGCAACGACGGGTATTTGCTAGGATACGATAAAATTAGATTTATAGATCTCTATAACTACTTTTATCATATATAGATATACGATAGAGAGAGAGAGAGAGAGAGAGAGAGAGAGAGAGAGAGAGAGAGAGAGAGAGAAAGAAAAAGCGAGAGAGAGGATATATTTAGAGAGCAATAATTAATCCTAACAATTTTGCTAAATTCAACCGCCAAGGTCGGTTTAAATCTTTTCGTTGTATATTTTACAAATCTCAAAAATTGTACATCGGAATCAGAATCGTTAATATGCCCGATGTTCAAACTTTTGTTTCAGTACTTCCGGTTGCTTCAGTTCTTCCGGTGATCGTTAAGATTTTGATAACGTGTAGACATAGAAATAAACACTGGCTGAAATGTATCAGTTTCATATCTGGAGCAATCATTACATTATTCCTTTTACGGCTTATAGGAAGGAGGGAAATGTGAAACTTGTTTTTTATAGTTTCTTTTGTTTCAGTCTTATTTGAATTGCTCAGTCAATGGATGTCGAATGTTTCCTGTATGGAAACAATTACTCACCACTAACATTAGCATTTTACACTTTGTAAGAGAACAAATTTAATTAGCTCAAAGTACTCTGAAGAGATTTATTAAATTATCATTTTCTTTCATTGCATTTATTCTTCCCCCTCCTCTTTGCATAACACACTCCGATTGATTGGATTGAAACAAAGTTTTTATTTAAACAAAGTATCTATAAACACACGGTGGAGTAATGGATAGCTGCTCGGATTTAGGAATCAGAGAATTCCAGTCGGATCCATTACATTCACTTGGGAAAGGGTATGAATCCTCGTCTTCTCCCCCCAGCTATGGGTAAATAGCAGGTGGCAAGTGGTCTACTGCAGAAAGAAACTGCAACCTACTGCCGGAAAACAATCTGACTCATCTGTCGTGTATCGAAAAATACATGATCGACAGGCAAATTTTCAACATAGATATCACATGTTTGCTACGTGTGTAAGAGATGTTGTAAAGTGGAGCTGACATCACTTACGGACCATTGGCAGATCATTAGCCCCGGTATAGATGCTTGAAATAATAAAATTCTGAATTAACAAAGCCCCCACCCAAAAGACAAAAAACAAAACAAAAAACAACCTAGTGAAGAAATGGCCTTTTGGGGTGTTGTGGAGTGATTTCACAGTGGAGACTTGTATTTGTACTAAGTCGGTCCTAAAATAGGTTCGACGTACAAAACGTTAGTAACTTGATATAATAGGTATTACGCAGAGTAATCTTATTATGGTCGTTGACTACTTTCGTATTCGACTAACTATCGACCGACATCGACTGATCCTCGTTTCTCTTACTACTCCTACTTATATTAGGTGGGAGAGTCTATTAACTATAGAATAGGTGTGTTTCACCATAACA